TGTCCCAGCATGGCTGTGCCCAGAAATCCCTTCCTGTCAGGAATGGCAGAGACTGCAACTATCAGTGTCATGGTGACAGCAGGGCAGAGCCAGACTCAGCAGGGGGAAGGATCCCCTCTGCTCCAAGGGAGGTTATGGGGACTTTTCTGTCTATGTTCATGCCAGCATGGTTGACTTCCTCGCTACTTTAAAACATAAACATGTTTTGCTTTGTTTAATCGAAACCTTACAGCAGATGTTTTATGATTATTCCACCACTGGGAAAAAAAAAAAAAAAAAAAAAAAGATGCTGAAAAGTGCCAGCATCATGGCTTTTATGGGAGAGTTTTATTAACTCGGCAGTTTGCTGTTCAGCTAGGGAATGAAGGCATCAGCCAAGACACAGGAAATCTAGTTTAAATGACTCCCATATCGTGGATGTAGAGTTTGGTATGTGCCAGCATGGGGAGGGCTGGGGTTGAGTCTTCCAGGGTGATAGGTCTGGAGTCAGCCACACCTCACCCTCATCCTTGTCCTCACTCTGCCCTTGCCCATGGGACTCCGCCTCAGTCATCTTCCACCTCTTGCTCCTCTTCCAGTGTCAGTACTCACCTTTGGGGCTGAGAGGACCATCAAGGGTCCTGCAACAGTTTTGCCCACACTGCCTATAGGACCAGAAGTCCCATGCCTCAGTTTCCCTGCCTGGAGAGCCAGAGAGGAGCCCAGGCATAAGGCAAAGGGAGTGTGAAGTCAGTGGGGGACTTGGCCATGGACACAGAAGCATGGGGATATATAGGGGGTTTCCTCCAGATCTCATGTCCCTGGGGTCATGCTCCATCAGAGGAGCAGAGTCCATCCCCACGCAGCACCATTTCTGCCCCTGCCGTGAGCTTTTGTGAGATGTCCCTCATCACCACTTCAGCCAAGAGCATTTTGCTCTCCTGCTGGGACCTGTTAATGATAAAATCGATGCAAACACTGCTGTGAGCAGCTCCGGTACCCGTTTGATGAGCTCTGCAGGGACAGACAGCTCTGCAGACTCCTCAGCATCTGTCAGCTCCATGGGGGGGATGCTCTGCCCCGGCTCCCTCTCAGCTCCTGATGAGCCCCATGGATGTAATGTAAGCAGGGATGCCAGGGGAGGATGGGCTCAGCTACATGCTGTGTGTCAGAGCCCCATGAGTGCCCTTTCTACACCTGGCCGTGGCATCCATTGCGAGGGAGGGCCCATCAGCAGCCACATGCAGAGGTGATGTTTCCCTGCATTGCGCATGCTCGGGGAAATTGCAACAGTTCTGCTCTGAGACGGGCTGCTCCTCAGAGGTCTGATGCAGGCGAAGCCCCTGGATTTGTAGGATGCTGCCACGTGTATCCAAGCAGATGCTGCGGTGCTGTGGTGGTGCCGTCAGCCAGCCTGCAGTGGCCTGGCCAGCTCACATGCACAGGCGCCCCGGGAAAAGCAGATGGAGGAATAAGGGGAAACTTTCCATTCCAGTGCCCCTGAAAGGACATTATAATTTTCCTTCCTTGTGTAATCCTGCTTGCCTGGTTATGTGGCGTTAAATTAGGGCTCTGGTTCGGTTACGGCTCATTACAAGCTTACGTGTGGCTTTGTTGCAGCTTGCTCAAAAGCACCAAAGGAGCTGAAAGTTGAGGTTTTAGGGACACAACTCATTGACTAGGAGCTGAGATTTGCCTGTGGCTGGTGACTTCAGCAAGGGTCAGACATGATCACCATGGACCTGGCATTACTACCTGGAGGGTATCAGTGAGGGACCCTCCCTGACCCTACCAGTGGGGAAAGCAAAGGGTTTGGGATGGATGTAGGTTGATGGGAGATGGCTCCAGCTTTTCCTACCTGAGCAAATGCAGTTGCCTCTTTAGCCTGTCCCAAGGACCTGTGTATGGTGTTGTGTACAACACAGGGTGCCAAAGGGAATGTTTTGAATGCTGTCAGACAGCAAAGAAGCTTTTCTGCAGAAATAGCTAAGTCCTGAAATACCCCAAGCAGCTGTGTTTATCCCGATGCTCTTGCTCAGAGAGATGCTTGGCTGTGACGTGGGCCGTTAGTACAAACATTGCTTCCAGTGCCCAGACCAGAGCCACCAAGGGCGTTGCTCAGTTAGTAGCATTAATAACAAACCAGCACCATCCTGGCATGCAGTCAATGGACTCAGTAAATAAAACCAACCTCAGCTCATCCCAACGTTTAGGCAAGGAGTGGGGCTGCCTTCTCAGGATCAGATTGGTTTCCAAATGTCCCCATTCCCCACCCAGGGCTGCTTTCACCAAAGCCGTGCTCTCCAGCAGCAGAAGAAACCTCTGCTCTGGCAGAGTTGTGCTGGGTGGGATGAGGGAGAAGATCCCTGGGGACTTCTTTCTCAACCATTATTGCCTTCAGCAATGCCCAGGTTTGCTAGAGAAATGCAGCAAGATCCCTGCAGCCCTACAACTTTCTTTTTGTTGTGCCCTGGTGTTTCCTTCCAGTGCTAAAGGTGTGTGTTTGTAATTGCTGCACCTGGGGCCATTAGAGGAGCTGATTCAGAAGGTGGAGAATTGATCTTTTCTAAGCGGGGAGAGAAGAAAGCAGGCAACCTCCTTGCTCAGATGCTGCATGCTACTCCTTGGCCTTCTGAGAGCATCCCCACGCAGAGGCTGTGCTTTGGGGATGCCAGGAGGAGCTGGCACAGCAGCTTTCTGCAGGCTGACTCCAAGCCCAGCTGGTGATGTTCCCCCTTGCTGTGTCATGAGGTTGGGGACCCACTGCCACCTCTCCCAAGCCCACCTGCCAGACTGGGTACCAACCCTGCCACTCTCCTGTGCTTGGCATCTGCTTTCTGGGGTGCCCAGAGACATGCTGAGCACAGGGGACCTTCCCAGAGCAGGGACCCCCCCAAATCCCGAGGCAAGGCAAGACCAGCAGGCTGGGGAAGGGGAAGGCTGTGAGCAGATGCAGCACAGAGCAACAGGATGTGGCGACTGGGCAGGTGCTGTTTTGAAGGAACCCCACAGGGTAGATGCTCAGCTGCAGGAGGGCTTGGTGGGCTAAATGCAGGCTGGAAAATTCCTCTGCTGCAGCTGTGTCTGCCAAGATATGTACCTGGAGAGCCCAGACCCAGTTATTCCTTTTCCAAAGCCCCCAGGCTCTGGAAGGAGCAATCCACTGATGCTGCAGCCCACAGCAGGGGGAACATGCCCTGCCCCAAGGGTAGCACTGGTACCCTTAGCAGGGACCTGGAAGCTCCTGCTGCTCCCAAGTGAGGACTGAACTGGACAGGCTTATTTCCCTCATGCTACATGATTTCTCCCAAGATGCTGGGAGTTTTCTCCAGCACCCACAGTGGGAGGCACTGGGAGGGTTTTATCATGTGCTGCAGGACTGTGGGTAGGGCTTGTCCTCCTGCCCATGCTGGGGCATGTGTTGGGTTTGGCACAGCAGTGTGCAGTGAGGCACAGGGCTGTCCCATGGGATGCTCCGGGTATGCCCCAAACCCTTCCTGACCACCCTTACCCAGCCCGTGAGGGCTTTTACATATCCCATGGCACCTTGAGCTTGAAATACAGGACAGGAAGGTGCACTCCCCATGGATCAGTCCCCAGCAGGGGATGAGAGCTGGGATACAGCAACCCAGCTGCTCTCCCTGCACCAGACCTCTCCTCATCTCCATGGTCCTCCCTGCTCACAGCTCTGCCCCGCTTTGTTCTCTTTGCAGGAGAAGAAAGGCCAGGAGGTTAAGAAGGGCCCCGAGGTGGAAATAGCAAAGCTGGACAAGCTACTTAACCTGGTGAGAGATCCGGAGACTAAGGCAGGGAAGTGAGCGGGGGAATGATGGCTGTGCTGGGGGCTGCCGGCCCAACAAGCCCAGCTTTGATCAGCAGCTGTTTGGCATGCAAGCCATGGGCCCCGTGCCACCCACTCTTTGCATAGTGGGAATACTTTGCCTCTGTGCCTGGACAAATAAACAGAGATGCTGGGAGAGCCGTGGTGTACAGTTCTCTCTGGGGTCAGGCAGCTCTGGTCCCCCAGAGCCACACAGCCCTCCTCTCTTCCCCGCCCTTGGCTGGGCCTGCACTGGGTGAGAGCCCCATGAAGGGCAGGGAAGGGATGGTCCCACCAGCCCTCAGGAAACCTCAGGCCTGCAGCTTAATGGCAGCCAGTCCCACCATAAGTGGTTGCCAGAGAGACTGAGCACTGAGCTACAGCCTCACAGCCATTTGTGGCGTCAGGTACACACAGCCCCCCGGATTTTAGGGCAGCAGCCTAAGCCAGAGGGTGTCTGAGGACTTGGCCTGGCCCCCCCATGGCTGTGGGAGAAAGACGTGCCATCACTCCAGCCAGGGTATCACAGCAGCTGCTGGCCACCAGCTTCGGGATGCTCACAGCTCCCCTCTCCCCAGGGTGGGTTCAGCAGAGGGTGCTTAGCCACCTCTGCCCAGCTGGTGGCTGTAGGAACGGCTGGGCGCTGGGTTTGCAGAGCCTTCCCACCGCTCCAGCGCTTTGCAGCAGAGGGATTAGCTGCTACACGGCTGCGGTGGCCTTGCCGCATGCTGATGAGCAGGGACGAGCTGTCACCGCTGGAGCCTTGCACACAGCTGCCAGGACTGGGGAACAGCGGCGCTTGTTCCACCGGGCAGGAGTGGTGGACGGTCTCCTCCGTCCACTTAGCTGTCCTGTGTCCCCCACAAGCATCCCTGTAACTTAAGGCCACAGCCTGGAAACTCTCCAGTGCCTCCAGCACTGGGGGTAGGGGGTGCTTCCTGCTGACAGCCACGTGCCCCCAGCCCGGGCAGACACGCTGCAGGCTTGGAGTACCCAGCCGTGTTTCTCATCCAGAATTTAAAAGCCACAGAGGGATGCAGACATGAGCCCTTCTTGTCACCATCACCCAGCAAAACACCCACAGTCCTGCAGTGACATCGGTCACCAGCCCTGGGGCAGCCGCTCCTCCGCCCCGCGGGACAGGCAGGATGTGTCCCCTCCGCTAAATTTTTCAGGCACTGGGCAGAGCTCAGAGACACTGCCTGGGTCCTACGATTGGTTTATTAGTCTAGTAAAAACAATGCTGCAAAGGGATGCGTTAGCTACACCTGACAAGGGGAGGAACCGCAGGCTCTGCCAGGCCTGTCCGAGCCTGCACAGGGACCCTGGTCAGTGTCCCTCCCAGCACAGCCCATCCCTCTGTCCCCTCACTGCAGTGGCTGTGCCAGCACGGACATTGGCTATTGCTGGGCTCTAGGATGGACCAGGCAGAGCCTGTCCAAAACCCACATCACCTGCAAGCACGGCAGGAGAATGCAGCTTGACAGGCTTGGGGACAAGCCAGACCACCAGCATCCCTCCCCGCAAAGCCACAGTGGTTCCCGGGGAGCGATGGGGCTGGAAATGCTGTTTGTCCAGGCACCCTCATCTCCCCATGTGTCTCCCAGCTCCCTGGCAAAAAAAAACATCCCAGGCTGCTCTCAGTGGGGATGGGGATGCCAACGGGGGCACATCTGCTGCCCGTGGGCAGGTCAAACCCCACCAGCTAGCGTCGGCTGGGAGCAGGCAGGAGAGCAGGCAGGGACACGTGCCCAGTGAGGAGGAGGGATGTTTGCCGAGCAGTGTCGGTGCTAAAGCTGGAGGGGACTGACAGACAGACCGGGGGATGAATGGACAGACCATGCAGACCCTCCTGTGGCTCATTACATTGGCTGCTGGGGCAGATGGGTGCCAAATGCCCTCCTGAGGCTGGGGGTACATGGCACCCCAGGGCCACCCCCAAAGACACCCAGACTGGTCCCCTTCAGGCACATCCCACCATGGGGCAGCCAGCCCGTTCGGAGACAGATGCCCACGCTAGCCCCGCTGCCTCCCCTCTCCAAGCCCCCATCCAGCCCTGCTGAGGTCTGCAGCGCAGTGGCCACTGGCCCCGGCCACCAGCGGCAGGGAGGAGCCCATGGGCTGTCCCTAAACACGGGGTGTGCTCGAGGTCAGGGCTCCTGCTGTGTTTGCTGGACACTGGGACAGGCAGGATTGTCCCCATCGCACATCCTGGCCGATGTCTCTCCATCCCCACGGTCACTGTGGGCATCTGCAGGGACTTCACACACCAAAACCACACCAGCGAAGGGCTGTGCCCTGCATCACGGCACCTGCGAGCGGCTCGGCGTCCCCTCTGCTCTCATCGTGCCTGGTCCAGTGCCCCAGTCCCCACGCAAGCATCTGGGCTGGCGTCACTCCCTCGGCACAGCCGGGTGCCCGACTCCCCAGGCAGCTCAGGGCTGCAGCAGGTACTTCTCTTCATTCCTTGCCTCATCTACATCAGAAGATGGACTCTTCTTGGGGCATGAGGGGGTCCTGCAGGCCTTGCAGAGGATGAGGAAGAGGATGAGGATTAGCAATGCAATGATACAGTTAAAAGAAATTGCCACAACCGCTCCAGTGGAGAGAGCGGCCCCCATTGCCCCCGTCCCACAGGAAAAAGAGGGGCCCAGAGCTCGGCCCCACGCTTGGGATGCCAGTGAAGCGATCAAGTGCGCAGCCTCCGCCTGCCGGCATTGGCGGGGGACAAAGGGGACGGCGGTGGTGAGATGGGGCCAGGTGGGCAGCAGGGACGGCGTCACTCTGTCACAGTTCGGCCACTCGCAGCCGTGTCCTGGGCTTCACCGTGACACCAGGAAGGACTGATCAGAGCTTTCTCTTGGCTTCCCTTCCTCTGCCTGGGCAGCGGGGACACGGGGACCTCGCTCCTCCGTCCTGCACCTGGAAGGGAGAAAGTCACCGTCACCACTGGCACGAGGGGACAGGTTGCCCAAGCCCCTCGGTGTGGGCTGCGGGGTGCCAGCGGGCAGCGAGCCCAGCGCCCAAGGGGCTTTGCTGGGGTCTGGAGCCAGCTCTCAGGTCAGCGGCTGTTTGGGGGACCCGTCCAGCACTCCACACCCCAGCTGTCCCCCACTGCCCCCTGCGAGCGCCGCCAAGCCGGTGCCCCCAGTGGGAGATCCATCGCCTCACCCCCAGCCCAAACCCTCCCCCATCCCCGGGGCGTCCCCGGGTGACTCGGGGCGGCCCTGGCCCGGGTCTTCTCCCCTCTCCACCCTCCACTTGCTTTTGCCACCGCCTGCATCCCGCTGCGAGGTCCCGCACCCCAAAACGGGGCGAGCGGCTGGGCGGGCACAGGTGGGGGGTCAGGGCAGCCCCCGCTTGTGCTTGTTACCCGCGTCGGGCAAACCCCGACTTCGGGGGTCCCCGGCGCCCCTAATCCCACCGCCGAGGAGCGGGACGCCAGCGGAGCCCCCGGCCCCGTACCGGGGCATCCAGCAGCAACAGGTCCCGCCGAACCCGCCCTCCCGTCGCGGGGCCCCGGCGTCACCTACCTGCCTCCGCTC